CAAATGGCAGAAGGTGGAAGAGAAAGAGAGCACATTTAGGCAAGAGAGAGGAGGAGAGAGAACAAGCAGAAGAGGAGGCCAAGGTTGCTTTTTTAACAAACCCACTCTTGCAATATGAGCCCACTCTCATGATAACATGAATCCATTCACAAGGGCAGAGCCTTCATGTCCTAATCACTTCTAAACAGCCCCACCTACCAAAACTGCTGCACTGGGAATGAAGTTTCCAACACATGAACCTTGGGGCCACATTTAAACCATAACAGTAATACTATAACTTTAATGGGAGATGGAGAAAAAAAATATTGGTGACCTGGGAGTGGAGAGTGAATTGGGGGAAGAACTTTTTAAACAAGATGGCAAAAGTGAAACCATAAGGCAAATCTTTTATTTATTTGAATATGTGAAAATTGTTAAAATCAAGGATTTCTATTCAACATAGAACATCACAGAGAACATTAAAAGGAAGATGATAAAAGTGAAGAAAATATTTTCAGTGTCTAAAGCTGACAAAGAATTGATACCTAAAATATATGAGAACTCTGACAGATTATAGCAAAAGCTCAGCAACTCCAGTAGAAAAACGGGCAAATTATATTTATAGGCAATTTACATAACAGCAAACCTAAAAGACTGGTAAGCATATATAGAGATGCTCAACTTATCCCTAATCACAGAAATGTAAATTTTTAAGAAACAACGAAATATAACTTTATTAAGCTGACAAAATTGTTTATTTATTTATTTTTACGGAACCAAGGTCAGAAAAGATAAATTGGCAAAATTTAGAAAGCGGGTCATGCCAAGTACTGGTGGAGACTGGAAATATAGGAACTCTCATGCAGGTAAAAGTGTAGATTTGTACTATTATTCCAGAGAACTAACTGAAAGCAGGCAGTTATATTTGAATCATGTCCCATGCCCCAGCAATTTTGTTCCTCAGTCGGTATCCCAGAGAAATTCTCCTATGAATTCAGGTACAGGTATATTCACTGCAGCATGGTTTGTGGTAGTGGGAAGTTAGAGATGCTGGGAAAGTGGATGCATATTCTGGATTACCAGGCAGTAGAAGAAAGCAATGGGCTGGACTGGACATATGAGCATAGCAACATGGATGAAGCTTTTAAACACAGTGCTGAGGGAGAAATGAGATATACAACACAATGCCATCTACAGACACTGAAAAATATGCACCCAAGATCATACTTAGATTGCAAGAATACCTAAAAATTAAAATATATACATTAAACACATTAGAATAGCTGTATATGGAGTGGGAAAAGGAAATGGATATTGAACATGGGAATGGAAAGGAATAACTAAACAAGGGATGGGCATAGCTCAGACCAATAATAATGCAAAAATAAAATACTAGAATATAAAATAATTCATCCAGGAGGCAATAAAAGTATCCAGTGTATAGACTTTAAGAACTACAAAAGCCAGATTTCTAACTCTTCAAAAGTCTGTAGGATAAGGAACAAAGAGTGGCTATGTGAGTGGCTTAGCATAGAAGCTGAGCTGCTAAAGAAAATATCTATAACTAATATCCCAGAAAGAGCTAACACTGCCAAATTTCAGAGTGAAGATTCCTCTTTTTTTCATGATTTTATCTATCTTTGCCACTTCTGTGTTTAGATACAGAAACTATTTTGAGTCTAGAGTCATATACTTTTGGACCTGAAACAATAATCCCTGTTTCTTGAGCCCCTGAGTTTTGGAACTTAGATGTAAGAAAGAATTTTACACTGGGACAAATGATTGAGGGAGTTTGCATCTCTGAAATCTTAAAAAGCAGAAAACACTTTAAGTTTTCCAGGTCATTTAAAAAGCTCTGCTCCATATGACATTTCCATGTCTCTATCGATCCTGACCATCATTTACCTGACTTATCCCTTAAGTGATCATTTTGTGTCTACTCCACTAAGTGTAATATGCAGGATGAGAAATAATGTAATGTCTTTTACTTTGAAGTTTCATATAGATCAGAAAATAAAAGTAAGGAAGTATTCTTCCTTCATAGGTAATTTATCATTTTTATTTACACGTAAGGAACAATAATAAACACGGCAAGGTGCTTGGGTAGATGCTCAGATGCTCAGTGGTCATTTCTAGACAATCCCTTATTCAGGGATCTAGTCTCTATAGTTGGCCACACATTTTAAGATGGACTGCATTTGGAAAACTCACTTATATACTACTCAGCTTAACACTAGCATAACAGTAGCAGGCACTGAAAAAGATTATCTTTCTAGATTCAATTATCCATTGATCTAACAAATGAATATATATTTAGTGACTGATATGCAAGGGTGAGAATGAGGATAAAGTCAGTAGATTAAAGGCTGTGAGTATATTCCACAAGAGTACAGTCTTTGCCAATAGCATAGGAAATTCACAGGACAAGGGTATGAGTGGGGCCACTAGCTTTTGGACCAGGAAATTAATTTTTTAGTAACTATATTGCTTAGAAATCCTAGAATTCTCAATAACTCTTGTGCTAGTCCCCACACTTTCTTCATAACTAGGGTAGCCCCTGCATCTCCCCACAAAATACAAAGTATAGGACTTTTAGCAGATAGCATTCCCAATGTAAGATCTGCTGTGGTTGAGTGGCCTCAAAGTAGGTTAGGGTTTTTAAGAGTTTTAATTATTTACAAATAACACTTTCTGGTTAATTTGATACAGGAATAAATTTGAGTCACAGAAGGCCTCACTAGTGCTCTATGCTATTAAAGCTTTGCTGATATTGGGGATCCTGCTGCCAGGGTTTTAGTGTGGAAGACTAATAGGGTTTGCTGATGAGCAAAGGGACTATTAAGCCAAGGTTTGCTGCACAGCGCTTTGGATTTTAATGGTGACATTTTTTACCTCGACAGGCCAATAAATATGTAAGAAGATAGTGGCATTAGCATGTCCCCAGATACAGCCTCCAATGGGTTAACATAATGAGGCAGTATAAATTCACAGTTGGCCAGTCTGCCCAGATTTCTAAACTCCCCACTTTATTGTGTGAAAATTTCCTACAGGAGATTTCAGAATCAATAATTCTCTATCAGAGGCTTTGAGGAAGCAAAAGAAGCCCTGCCCAGTTACCTGCTGTGTCTCTGAGGGGAGGCCAGAGTCATGATTAGGCCCCAACACAGCTCCTCAGCTCAGCTGCAGCTATAATTAAGGATAAGCCATAATCTGCTTTTAAAATATCCTCCACTTTTCACTACTTCCTTGCACTACCATAACTATTTTTTAAAAATCAAATCATCAAGGGCTCAAATTAGGTCTTTATTCTGTCCTTCTATTTCAGTTATCAAATGTGTAAATCCTTGAGCTCTGCTGTCTGATTCTGAAGAGCCTGTTCAAGTGCTTCTTAATAATTTAGTGGTTTGAGGGATTTTAACACTCATTCTCCCTTGGGCACCTGCTGATATTCTGAAGTACAAACTTTGTACACCGATCTCAGTTTTGATGCAGAGTATAGAGTTCTGAAGTTGACAAATGAAATGTGACTAAAGACCTGCCAACCTGTCCTGCTTGCCAGACTTCCAACAGAAGAAGGTTCTTGTTACTTGAGCTGATTTGACACTGGCTGCGACAAGGAGCCCAGAGTAGGCAGAGACAGCACATAGCCCAGTTGCAGTGGTATGGGACTTTTTATTTTAACATTTTCAGTAGAGTGCCCAGACAGGTTAATTAGCAGAACCATAAAAAAGTGGACCTAATCTCACCCAGAGATAATCCAAGAAAATAATCACTTGGGCTGAAATGGACAAACTTTATTGGTATGGCCCCAAATATTTAATGATTACTCTGTACCATTAGCCTTGACAAATACAGAGCACTGTTCCTTTCTCAACATATGGCAAAAGGCCCATGGCACTTTTCAAAAACCTGCCTTTCCTTTTTTTCTCATTACTGATGAGAAAGCAGTTGGTATATTTAAATATGCATGTCCACATAGGTACATAGGCTTATATGTATGCACATGCACGAATGCAGTTAGTCAACATTTATTGAATGCAGAACACTATGTGGCAGGAAGTACCAGGGGAAATTAAAAAAAACACCTAATCTCTGCCCACATGATAGTTATAGTCTAATGGACAATTTGTGATGCATAGGAAAATGAACAAAAATTGATTACTCTAGAGATAAAAGCCTCTCTGTCTTTTGCAACACTTTTTTTTTCTTGTGAGTACAAAAGTAATGCATGTTTCTTACAAAAACTTTGGAAAATAATCACCTGCAATGAATGCCAGTGCCCAGAAATATATACTGTATTAATGTTTAAATATACATCAGACTTGTTTTTTTCTATGCTCATAAAACGTCTTTAAATGCATACCATTTAACAAACTGACTTTTTCATTTGACAATATGTGATAAATATTTTCCATGTCATTAAACTTTCTTCTAAAATAAAGTATTTAATGATAATATATTTAATCATAAAATGTGTGATAATTTATTAACAAATACTCTAATTCACAACTATGTGAATATATTTAACACTACTGTACTGTTCACTTAAAAATGGTTACGGTGGTTTTTAAAAATTTTGAAAAACAGGGCCAGGTGCAGCATGGCTCATACTTGTAATCCCAGCACTTTGGGAAGCCGAGGATGGAGGATAGCTTGAGTCCAGGAGTTCCAGACCAGCCTGAGCAACAGAGGGAGACTCTGTCTCTACAAAAAATTGAAAAATTAGCTGGTCATGGTTGCATGTGATGGTAGTCCCAGCTACTTGGGAGGCTGAGGTGGGAGGATCGCTTGAGCCAGGGAGGTTGAGGCTGCCATGAGCCGGACTCATACTCACTCCACTGCACTCCAGCCTGGGCGACAGAAAAAGACTCCATCTCTTTAGATATAACATAGGGGAGGTTTTCAGTTAATGGTCAACATTAAACCCTTGTTTTCTGTAGCGGTTTCTCCTAAAAACCTACTTCATACCACAAGAAATGAATCCAAAAATGTTTCATGAAATGAATCGGGGGAAAATTGAGATCATGGCAGGTCCAGAAGCTGAGGAACAATTTCAGTTCACTGGTATTAAAAAATATTTCAACTCTCATACTCTCACAGGCAGAAGGAATTGTGTACTGGCCACATATGGAAGCATTGCTTTGATTATCTTGTATTTCAAGTTAAGTCCCAAAAAAACTCCAGCTGTGAAAGCAACATAAATGGATTTTAAACTGTCTCCGTTCTTAACCTCATCTGTTAAGTTCCATGTCTGGAGAAGCTAATCCCAATTCATCATGTGATAATACAATATGTACAATAAATTATGAACCTGGAAAAGCTGGTTGTCTTTATTTACAAGATATCAAAAACACAAAACCCCTAATTATTGAAGAATGTTAGGGTGTTGTAACATTTTGCTATTATAAATAGTTCTACAATGAAAAAGCCTTGAGTGTTATTTTTGTGCATGTGTATATCCCTGATTCTTTCTTTAGGGAAAAATTCCTAAAATTGGAACTGCTAAGCTAAAGGAATGAACAAAAATAGAAATGTCTTTTTGGCCAGGCACAGTGGCTCACATCTGTAATCTCAGCACTTTGGGTGGCCGAGACAGGTGGATCACGAGGTCAGGAGTTCGAGACCAGCCTGGCCAATATAGTGACACCCTGTCTCTACTAAATATACAAAAATTAACCAGGCATGGTGGCATGCACCTGTAGTCCCAGCTACTCGGGAGACTGAGGCAGAAGAATCGCTTGAACCCGAGAGGTGGAGGTTGCAGCAATCCAAGATTGCGCCACTGCACTCCAGCCTGGCAACAGAGTGAGACTCTGTCTCAAAAGAAATGCCTTTTTAAATTTTTATTGACCCCTGTACAAACACAAAAAATAAAAATGTCTTTATTGTTTATGATTTTAAAAATAATTCATACTTGTAATTTTTTCAGAAAATGGCAAAAAAATTAAAAAGAAAATGAAATTACCTTTAACCCCACCATTCAGAAATAAACACTATTAATACTTTGGTGAATTACTGTTCAGACTTTTTTCTCTTCATATGTATTCTTATACATACTTAAAATAGGAGCATACTATATTTGGTAATCTATATTTTCATATTACAACATATAATAAATATCTTTCTATATCAATAAATAAAGGCAGACATAGTAATATTTCATTTCTGTAATACATTTTGATGTACAATTATGTCAGAGGTTATGTAAATAATACTGTATTTTTGAATATTTAGATTGTTTCTAGTTTTGCATTATTACTAACAACAGCGTTTTGGTGAAAAGCCTTATCTATACAGCTTTATGCGTTTATGTAATTATTTTTCAAGATAATTTCTCAAATGTAGAATTGCTAAGTAAAAGGACATACACATTTATTTTATTTCATTTTTATTGATGTATGCAATATTTGTAGATTTTGACATGCACATTTTTAAGATTTTTGGAATATCATGCCAAATCTTACTTCAAAATGGGTGGACCACTGTGCATTTTCACAAATTGGAGGAGATTTTTTTTTTTTAGAGAGACATGGTCTGGCTCTGTCACTCAGGCTGGAGTGCAGTGGCACTATCATAGCTCACTGCAGCCTTGAACTCCCGGGCTTAAGCAATCCTCCTGCTTCAACCTCTGAAACAGCTGAGACTATAGGCACACACCACCATGACTGACAAATTTAAAAAAAAAAAAAAATGTAGAGACAGGTGGTCTTGCCTTTTTGCCTAGGCTGGTCTGTAACTCCCAGGCTCAAGTGATCCTCCTACCGAAGCCTCCCATAGTGCTGAAATTATAGGTATCAGCCACTACACCCGGGCCATTTTTTATATAAGGTGGTTTTATCCACATGGATACTATTTTTGGACTTTTCTTGTTCAAAGCTAATTAATTGCCTCAACATCACTGATTAAAAGGCAATCTTTTATCCAGTTGATTTGAAATGCCATCTTTATCAGATGTGTACTTGGAATATTTGTGTATGATTTGAGTTTCTATCCCCACCCTACTATCTATTCATTCCTATATCTAACACTACTTCTTTAACATTCTCTTAAAATAATAATATATCACATTTCCTCCCAATTAAGTTCTTCTCTAGGCACTCGAGTTCACAGAACTTACCTTGCCTATAGTAACTGCCTACAGTGTGATTTGATATCAAGCACTCCCACCAGAAAATGTTTTCCCCATCAAATTCCTATGGCCCCCAAAAGGCCTCCCTTTAGGTTATACAAAAGTTCCCAAACAGATTGCACATTCAAATTACAAATTACTAATTTTTTTTAAATACAGATATTTTGACTCTACCCCAGAGCTACTGAATCAGACTCTAAATCACTCTGGTACCAGTGATTTGAAGCTTTGGATGTCATTGGTTTCAAGAACAAAAGGCAGCAAGTATCTCAAGCAGGCAAAAGTTAAAACACATGTGTATTACCTGGAGTCTCTTTCAATCTCTTCTCTCCTATACTGGAAATTGGTTTATCCAATTTATACTAATCAACACTTTTGACTAGGCCATCAAGGAGGTTTAAACCTTAAGAGAAAAAACTGTAGAACTGGCTTACTTTGGAAGGGAAAGAAGAAGCATAATGTGATAACTTCTGGAGAGGAATGAGTTCCAGGCCAGGAAAGTCAATCCAAAAAGTTTTTTTATTTTTGCTTATGTTATTCAGCATGTCTTAGGTAATATTCAGATGAACATTCTGTATTTTAATTATTATGTATTGATTTATTTGACTATCATCTATTTATGGCAAGTGATACTGGTTTTCCATTTGTAATAGTAATATAAAATATCACTTTAATTAACATATTTACATTTTAAAAGGTAAATCCTTTTCTAAAAATCAAGAAGAGGATATAACAAAAGTTTTAAATATGGTTAAGAATAATTAAAATTGGGTAAACACTGATAGTGAGATTCCTGGGATAGATGCTTGAAAGTCTAGTTGGGGGAAGGATGCTGAAAAGACAGCCAAAATATGTTTTGTCTATCTGACAATTTTGTTCAGGGTCAGGGCTCATATTAACTATATTGGTGTCTCTTTGGTCTCCCATTTTGTTTTGTATTGGCTCATAACGCATTTATTCAGTGGCAGCATGTTAAGCAGTACAATTTCAACTCCACATGAATAGAAAATGACCAATCTATGCTGCTGCCTAAGGCTGTTGTTCTATGTATGACTCTAGGCTTCTTGCTGAATCAAGTTTTGAACCAAAGAAAAGAGTAGGAGATTTAGTTATGTGCCTTACTATGATAATTTTGTTGTTACTGTGTAACTTTTTGTAGAAGATTTTCTTCAAAAAATGGAAGAGTAATCCAGCACTCTGGCATTCTGAGTCAGAGAAACTTCTCGCTCTTTGCTCTTTGAAAAACAGATTCAATTCTATCTAAAAAGAAGACTTTTGCCGGGCGCGGTGGCTCACGCCTTTAATCCCAGCACTTTGGGAGGCCGAGGCGGGTGGATCACGAGGTCAAGAGATCGAGACCATCCTGGTCAACATGGTGAAACCCCGTCTCTACTAAA